GTGTCTCCGGTCGCCACCGCTCTATCATAGCTGTGATCAACGCCCAATCGAACTGCAACCGACATATCGGGGCAGAATGTCCGGGACAAACACTGCCCATCCCATATGTATGAAGATCTATGGTTGGCATGTAGCAACAGTAGCTCTAGAGATGCAGGTCCGGGATGCACATGGGGAACCTCCATGACGATGTCTGTAAATTGAAAAATATTAATTAAAGTATTTTTTTAATTACTTAACATCTTTAAATATATTGCAATATCTTCTATATTAATATTTAATCGATATTTTTACTATATTGTTACTTAGGTTGATACATTTTTTATATTATAATTTTATATGTTAGTTTATTATTTTATATGCTTCTTTCTTATTCACCTATTTTTGGGTATAATAGAATTAAATAATTAATTTTTATATGAATTCATGATTTAATTAATAAGTATTCAGGTACAAATAATTAGTATGACAAATATTGTTATTTTTTATGTTATTTTCTTACATTTGTTGACTAGTATTCGAGAGACTTTGTGTTTGAACTATCATCTTCTTTTAGATATTTTTGGGATTGACAGATAATTAAATGATTAATTTCAATAACTATAAAGATACTACGCTAAATGGCACTACATTGTACTACGCTAAAGGGCACTACAATATAATTACGGGCGATACATAAAAATTATAGGCACAACATAACACAAAATTGAACTAAATAACATTAATTATTCATAAAATAATAATTTATTTATTTTACTAATCTTTTATCATATAAATAATCTAATCCGGATAAAAAACAACAAATTAATTTAAACAATACATATACCACAGTAAAAAATAACTAACAAAATATTTTTTATAACAATTAATAACATTAATTATTCATAAAATAATAATTTCTCTATTTTACTAATATTTTTAGCACAATAATAATCTAATCTGAATAAAAACAAATAAATTAATTAAATTACAAAACAATAATGAAAGAACATATATCACAGTAAAAAATAACTAATAGGCATTTTTAATACACGAGTTTTAACAAAAAATAAGTCGGAATACCTCGATTTTAAATTTTTTGAAAGGTGAAGATTTAATGATTTGGGGGCCGAAACGAGCAATTCACTACGCGATAACGCCTTAGATCCGATGTTAGCTTGCTACAATACCGAGAATCTACACTTTTTGTGGGACCGGTGGGCTCCAATGGAGTTTTTTTTTGCGTTAAAAATTTGGGGGAGGGGGGAGCTGGTTCACGTCTGGGTGGGGAAGGAGAAGACATGTTTTTTTTTTTTTTTAATATAGGTATAACACGCATATATAAATCATTATACTATAGCGCCTTATATATGTGCGCTATACCTTTATCGTTCAAATATAGCGCGGTGAATAACCACGCTATACCTTAACGGATAAAACTGCCGTTAAAGTATAACGCGGTGAATAATCGCGCTATATATAAAATGGTGACCAATTATTTTTTTAATCTATTTGTGTCTCTTTAGTCCAAAAAGACCACATTTAGATTTGAGATTCCACAAGTCTTGACTTCCATAACATTGGAGCCGCCCCGGTCATTATCCGATGATAAATGTGTACGTGCTGCTATTATTTAAATAAAAGTTCCAGATTTGCGTATCAAATAAACTAAAAGAAAATTTGCATAACAAATTACTGTTTTCATAATTGGTTTTAGAATGATAGCACGATTTCTATATGTTTGTTCAATGGAATTTGAAAGAGTTGATGCTTTTGCCTGTCCAGCTCACTGCACAATTTAGTTTTTCTTTAATATTTATTTGTAGACATAATATTGTACATTAGAAACGAGTTAAACATGGAGGGAGGTTTTTAAATTATGTAAGTTTTTCATGGAATGGTGCTATGATTACCAGGAGCCTTGGAACAACGGAAAATTTGTGTTTGTGTGACCTATATATCACGAGTTCGAGCTGTGAAAACAGTCACTACCATAATGGTAGACTGTCTACGTTATACTCCTTGGGTGCGGTCTTCTCCGGACCCTGTATGAACGCGGAATATATTATACACCGGACTGCCTTTTTAATGAGATTCAATTTAGTAGAAAACTTTAAGTTTATTATTGATACGAGTCTAAAAATTCATTTGATATAAGCACGCTACAATTAAGTTTTAATTTAAACTAATTTCATGAAATTAAATCCCATTTGAATTCAATTTTAAACTTAAGCGATCGATTATTATATTTTTCTTTATCGATTAGTTTATTTGAATTTTGTTTTGTAAAACAAGAAGTTAAAGTTAAAGTTAAATTATTATTTTCATTAATTCAATATTCATAACACCTCTATTATAGTTTGTTTAATAACTATTGTAAAGTCAATTCAAATTTTAAAAAAATTAAATTTTATTTTAATTTTATTACTTTCAATTATTTGTATATCAGTAAATGAGAACATCTTAGTGGCATTCTCAGCAGGCAAAAACAAATACTAGAAAAGAGTCAACTCTCACTAAGCTCATACTTGACTAAATGTAAGCTCGACTTGACTCTAACGCAAACAGTAAGAAGCTTGGTTAGACTCATATTGCGCCTAAGTCTAACAATAACTATATGACAGGATTAGATCAAAATTTCAATCAATTAAATAATTTTTCTTAAAATGGAATCTTGCAACTCTTAGTTAATCCCTTTTATTTTAGGCAAATATTTCCCAAACCACTTGTACAACCATGTTATTGTCCAATATCCTTTGCCTAGCAACCATGTGTTTCAAGTTCAGCATATGATAACTGGCATCCTTACTTACACAACGAAATTGAGTTGATGGAGTAGCCAGGGGCGGAGTTAGCATCCTAGACACGGGTTCGCCCGAATCCAGTAGTTTTGGTTCAAACTATGTATTTGTGTTAAAAAAATCATTAAATATGAACAAATTATCAATTTAGAACTCAGTAACTTAAACAGACTAATATCCCGAATCCATAAATTTCAAATCCTGGCTCCGCCTCTGGGAGTAGCTATTGCCCTTGAGTTATACTCTTCGGACTGCTTTATTTTTCCAACTTGGCAAATAACATCCCGCAACATAATGACATTCTTTGTTTGTGTGCCGCTACTAATTGGGTTTCAATTGATTTTTCTTCCTTGATCTATTAAGATGTTTCAGTTCGCTAACCTTTAGGTCATTGATTCGATTCGTAAAATTAATTGGGTGACCCTTGTGTTAGGGTAGACTGCTTACGTATCACACCCCCTTGGATGGACCCTTCCCTTGACTTTGCATACAGTAGGCTGCTTACATCACACACCTTTGGATGAGCCCTTTTCCCTATCCTGCCTGAACGCAGTATATTTTATGCACCGGGCTCCCCCTCTTTTTTTCTTTTAATCCTTTGGCTAGAGAAAAAATGATTATACGGGAAGACAATCAGGTGGTCTGTGAATGATGACATTACTGAAGTATAGCACTAGTTCATGAGTGGCTGCTCCAGTTTATTAAAGAAAAATAAAAGGGG